TTTAAAAGTTTGTAGAACTGAATATTTTTGTGAGGATGATAAACCAATGCAGGCTCTATCAAATGGCTGAAATCAAGCAAGAGACAGCTAAGGAGAAAGACACAATATGTCATAAAAGAAAAGATGCTATGTCATTATACACTTATTACAAGCATGCCCTACAGAGACAGAAACAGGGGCATAAGAAAACACTGTAGAGAAAAAATTCTGCAGCCTCTTTTTCTTCTACTCTCATGATTCAATGCATTTTTAACACATTCATTTAAGTGAGGTGAGGCAGCAGTAGCCTTGGCGAGTTCCCTGAGGAAATATTAGAACAAAAGAAAAGTATGAATTAGTTGAGATATCTTGAGTCCAGAAATTCTATAGATAACCATATCAAATATTATTAATGGATGAGTGTTGACTCTGAGTTATGATCTTGTTACAACAAAACGTGTAGATAGATTAAGAAGAGTAATTATCACAGTGAATGACACAAAATAAGTGTAGAAATAGATGGCTCAGTTTTATAAACCTCCACTACTGTCATTCAAGAAAGGCTCAAGGCATGGTTCTCATATGAATGAATACTTCACTTCTTAGGGATTTTATAGGCAATATTTTGAAGAACAGAACACTATTGGAATACTAGGCCCTGAGTCAGTCATGTGAGAACCTGAGTGAATACAGAGAAACTTAAAACCACAACACAACAAGAACCATATTCTCCTTTCCGTTCCACACCAAGATTTACCTGGAGGAAATCAGTATGGGAGTTTGCATGTAATGGTAGTCAGATGAAGGATATACACTGCATCACAGTTTATACAGATGAGGTCTTCAAACTGAGAGTCTAGTGTCCAGTGATTAGGCAGAAGAGCTGCTGTAAGAACAATACCTCATCTATCTTAACCTCAGGTGCCAGGTAAGGAAGCCCTGGGTCTAGAGAAAATTCCCTCAGATCAGTAGAAGGACATTCTTAGCTCTACTGGAATTAAACGGGTGGTTGTCGTGGAGTCGAATCCTTCAAGACCAGGCTGGCAAGGCAACCAGGACTGCATCCGTGACATGGGAAGGTCCTCACTAGACCTAAAATGGATGTGCTACCACACTTTGTCTTCAGCAGATTCAAGTAAGTAAGAATTTGGTTCTCATAGGATGAAAACCTGCTGAGAGTTCTTCTCTCAGGTCACACATGGAGAACAAGGATGAGTCAGATCGCTATGTAAGACAGTCACTCTAGTTAAAAAAAAATACCTGCAAATAATTCTCCTCAGTAGTATTTTGAGTTACTTTGCCTCAGAAAGGTGAAAGTTTTCTTAACTGTGTGAGGGGAAAAAAGAATGGTGTTCTTGATCTTGGCTAAAGTGGATATTGTGGTGCTGCATGTCATGCATGAGGACTATGAAATCTGAATCCTGGAACTTCCAAGGCAAGTTTCTGCTGACATCTCCATTACCCCAAGCTGGGCTGCCATTCAGTGACCTGAGACTTCAAATTCTTCCACAGCGTTCTCAAGAATGACTTGGGAGTTCTTAGACAGTGCCCTCAGAAATCCCCAAAGGCACTCTGGGTTCAATCAAGATGTACTAATTTCTTATTTGCTCATTAAGGCTCCTGCCTTGGCTGGCCTCCAGCCTATGTTCCTGCTTGCCTCCCCTCAGCCTAGCCTTTGATGTCTAAGATCAGAAGACTAAGCTACAATGCCATAACAATGCCAACAAGTCTGTTGTGAGACCCAGGTCTCAGAGAAATGCAGGTTACTGCAGAGGAGGAAGCAGAGAAATCTTTTTCTTCCTCTGTTGTCGGTAACATGTGTACTAGCTCTCCTGAGGCCTGAATCATGATGTCCGTGAGTTTCAATGAAGTCCATCATAGAAGTCTTTGCTACATCCTCTTGAGCAAGGTGGGGCCTTCCACTGAGGGCACCTTGAATGAAAGTAGAATGTTGTGCAAAAGCATCACTGGATTATGCCCATGGGAATGTTCTTTATAAGGAAAACCATGCGACTGAGAAACAAAACTGAAAATTTTTGAGTAGCTTGCACATACATAGTTGGGATAGTCACTTATAATTGGAGAAGCACCAGAAGCTCAGTACATGTGTTTTGCTGCGGGAAATACACATGGATCATTACAGATACCCAATAGTGATTCCTCAAGCTTCGGGTACCTTTGTGGGTCATAGATGTTTTAAGCCTAAGGAACCTCTAGACTCACTTTTTCTGCTCATTCTTTAAAAGTATGTTTTAGGTGACAAAAATCAAACTTCAAACAAAATATATTGTTTTGATATGTAGCGCCAAAATTAAGCAATGAAATTGCCCAAAGAAATGTGATGGAGTAAAAATGAAAAAGAGACACTGGCTGAAAATACCAGCATACATATAAGTGTGCGGTTAGTAAACCTCACAAGATAAAGGGTTCTACTTTCCTATTTCACAAGGACAACCTGGAATCCAGTAAGTCTTTGTGCCTGGCTTACTGCACAGATCTCACTCTTTTTTTTTTTTTTTTTTTTTTTTTTTTTTTTTTTACCGGTACCAGGGATCAAACTTCCAACCACCTGCTTGCAAGGCAGGTGCTTGTGCCGCTGAGCTAAATCCCCAGCCCCCAGATCTCACTCTTACATTGAATTTAAAAAAGCTGATCTCACAAACTTTGAGAGAGTAACTGTGGTTCCCAGAAGACACTGGTGATGAAGGTAAAGCAGCCATGGGAAAATGTGTGAATCTGAACTGAAGTAATACAAGAACTAAGTCTCGCTGATGAAGATTGAGCTGCATGATTTGACTCTAAAGCTACACTTTCTCTGGGGATGACTTTTCCCATCTCACTTCACATATAGGATACAACTTTTCCCCTCAACAAGTTGCAGAGAAGAAATAAGTATTTGAAGTGTTGAGACAAGTTTCCAGAAGCCTCCCCTAGACAGGATAGGAGCCAACATGAAGACTCTGAAAGATCAAAACTGAAGACAAAAATACCTCACCTCAAGCAGAATCAGATGGTAACCAGTTCATGACTGCTGTAAGACCTAAAAGTGCAAAGCAGGGCTATGGGCAGGAGCAAGGCTGTGGACAGATTATCCTGTTTCTTTCTAGGAAGGGTTATAGCAAGCATAAGAAATTTATTCTACATGGACAACTTCAAATGGAGCCTCTTTAAGCCTGCTAATTTTGAATTAACTCATTGATAGGTGGAATATTTTTAAAAAACTAATCTTTTAAAATTTGATAGTATGAATGTGGTTGCCAGATGCTAGGAAAATTTGGGGTCAACCGAGGAGTAAACTTTTAGACAATCAGTATTAATAGAGTAAGAGAGGAGAAAGAAGTTCTGGTGTATTCCTGTACAGTATGGTGACTACAGGACACAATTATATAGTGTATGTCTAAAAATGCCCACAAGCCAGATTCTAAGTATTTTTGAATGAAATTTTATGTTTGAAGTGATAGTAACATAGAAGACGATTTAAACCTTTCATATGGCATACATACATCTGCATTAGTTGTTTTATTGGGGGTGAGATACTCAAAATACAATACTCAAACAAACAGCTCTAAGGAGGAGGGTGCTTTACACATCGTGGATGTTTCAATCCATTCTCCTCTACCTACAAGGCAGGGAAGCAGGGCAGAATGCTTGGCAGAGGATAAACAGCTTAGGATATGGCTCTTGGACACAGAGAGCAAACAAATAAGAAGGGAAATAGACTCTGCCTCTGCACAGATGCATTGAACCTTCTCTAACAGGTTTCACATCTCAGAAGTATATTTAGTTGCACACAGGGACATGGAGTAACTCATTGAGAAATTCCACCAAACTGTTATCTCATCACCCTCAATATTACCCACCCAGGAGCTCATGATGCTTTAGGAGAACATCTAGATGTAAATCACAACAAGTCCAAAATACCAAATAATACTCTTGGTAGTTAAAGCGTTTTGCTTATATATTACACAAAAATAAAAAGGAAAATCAAGGTGTTGGTAGTACTCTTTAATTAGAAATGTAACTCAGGATTGATAGCACAGATCTGACCCAAGTACAGAAAGCTACAACAGTGTGAATCTTGTAATTCCTGGGGAAAAATGCAAAAAAGGTACCCCATTGTGTGTTTCCCTATATTCTCTCTGGTGCATAGGGAGTAGCAAATTGGCTGAAGGATTTTCCACATAGGAAAACACAGAAAGGGGACTCACTTACTGCAACGAATAAAATGGAGGCCATGAGTGATAGCAAGAGCAGCTCAGGATTCACAGGACTAGAAGGTTCATATTCCACCCACGAAATCTGCTCTACAAGGATCTTGGAGACTCTCTGGGTTGCAATCTGCAAGAAAATTCTCAGAGATATGAGTGCTATGGTGAGTGCTTATACAAGGAATTGAATGAGCCAAGAGCCTTGCCAGGAAAGTGGGTATTGTCCTGAGGATGGATTAAGGGAACCCTCCCCTTTCACAACTTAGAAAACAACTCAAAGCCCCACCCTTACCGGCAGCATTGGTATAACTAGGCATCGTTGCCATGACTGACATATTTGCTTGTATGATATCACAAGGGAATAAGGGGCCTCATCTTGCAGTTATGGCCTAAGAGCAGCAGTTGGAGGATTTCCAGAGTTATCCATAGACGACAGTGAGTACCTTCAGGACTAAGTCAGTCACTCACATAGAGTACTGTGAGAGTGGGCACACCACAGAACCATCACCTACTTTTAGGCTTCTGGGGCCATGGGTAGCTATGGTCAGACACCTAGTGCTGAGGGACTCAGTGATTTCGTCTACCCTGTGAGCAGAGAAGCCTCAGAAGTCAAGTAGTAGGACAGGTATAAAGCAGTTCCAATTGACTTGACCATTTATTTCCTTTCTTTTGGATCCCAAGGTCATGCATGGTGACAAGAAAAGCCACCAAATGGATATCTTACATAATCTGCCACCAGGACACACAATATTTGTGGAAAAAAAAAAAAAACCTTTAGGCTTAGGTGTCACTTCCAGAGTATCTGAGGAGACGATGGCAGCACACAGCGTAAAGTTCATTGAGTTCTTTCATAGGTCACCAGGAGAACAGCAGGATCACAAATGTAAGTCCATTGGATTCCCAGAGACTTTCCCGCAGAGAACACTGCAGACACAGCTTTTCTTAGCACATGGCTGTTACTTCCATACTGAAAGTGTACCTGGCTGCCACACTGTCTTTTCCAGTAGATCCTCCATTGCCTCTTCTCTTATACTCCTGTGTGCTATCTCTCACTACAGTCACCATGCCTAGATGTTAAATACAAATGCCCACATTCAAAAAAACACCTCTGGGCCAATAATGACTCCTCACATCAAACATATTCAGGACAGTGCAGCAGTGAAACAAGGGCTTCCTTCCTCTTCCTCTTCTGTCTTGAGTGACACTCCTTCTATTCCTATTCAACAAACACAGAATGAAAGAGCACATTACTAATGAGGACATGCTGAAGACCCTCAGTCAGATATGTCAATGCCATTTTACTAAGATTCTCACAAGACTTTCTGCTCACATCATGAATGGGTGAGAAGTTGACATATAGGAAGACAGCTCAAGAAGACACATATGTGGCACCATTAGCCAAATGAAACTCCCAAACAATGGGAAGACCTATCCTGACAGGAGCTAGCCCAAGACTGGGCTCCTCATTATGTTCCTAGACATCAACTTAATAAAAACCAGCTGTGCTACTTAATAAGGTCTCTGGGAATTCCTGGAGATGTTGCAAGTGCATCCTGGGAGAAAAGATTTCATCTATGGAGAGTGTAGAAAGCTCATTGCCAAATATTTTTGTGCAACAAAAGCATCTGGTTTACCAGCAATGGATGTACTGTGACCCTCTATATCATGAATGCCTTGGTGGTTCACAAACCGACTCTGATTCCAGTACTATGAATGTCCATGAATTTTTCGCTAGAATTAGTGGTAACCTTTACAGTGCTTTGGCTACATGACATAAGTCAGCTTTGCGGTATGGAGAGAGCCACAGCAATCTGCTGAAACTACCAGCACTACTGGCATGGGCAGGCATGTCGCATACACATGACCAAACACCCCTTCACCACTATTCAGTTTTCTGGTTTTTTCTTTCCCTGACTCATAGATATTGGATATAGATGTCTTTTGGAAATATATATATAGATGCGACAACAAATAATTTTGATGATAGATGAGTGAAAAGTAACAAAAATGATGTGTTTCATTGTTTTTTTTTTAGTGCTTTATACATACAGGTAAATTGTGTAAGCTTCAATGTACTGTACTTTCTGTATACGTAGAGGAGACCAACTTTTCATAAGGTGCACTTGTAAAATGGACTTGTTGCTCACTGTGTTATTTTTTCTGTGCAGGTATGACAAAATTGCTGAGAAATCCAAACTAGAGAGGTAAGACTAATTTTGGCCCAGGGTGATCTGCAGTTAATCTCTGTATTCCTCTGGCTACTCTGCTTTGTGTCTGAGGTGAGGTAGAATACCAGAGCAACACATGCAGACACATTTGCTGAACGCATGATAGCCATGAAGCAGAAGGAGAGTGAAAGAGCCAAAAAGGAAGGGGTGAGGGCACCTTGGTGTCTTCATGGTGATAGCATCTTACAATAGATCCCTAACTTTCTATTATCTCCCAATAGTGTCACCAATTTATGAAAAATCACTTGTTTATTGCACTCATGAGTTTAGAGCCTTAAATATCCAGTTGCAGTTCAAAATTTCTTCAGTAGTACACAAACCACTACCACAGGAAACCTGAAGCACATTTCACATTCAGACCATCAATCTTATGGTCCTTCTTATTTTCCAGATGTACACTGAGTATCTGCTCTTTGGAAACAAGCTCTGAGTTAGGCTTGGGAATATATAACTAAGACAAATTTTCTATACAGGATAGTGAAAGAGCTGGTGATGCTCAGATGAACACCTACTTTATTCTTTAGTATATTAGAAGCTGGGCATTAAAATAATATGAGAATAATCAAATATATCTCATTATATCTTGTACCTATATGTTGCTCCAAACCCTGGAGAGATTACAGCTGGAACCTTTTAGAGGTTGTTGGATCTAGCATGCTTGATAATTTATGGATGGTCACTGTCACACACATTGTAAGAATCATTCAGCAAGTGTCAAGCCACTCTGCCTTTCTACTATTATTTTCAACACGATTTTCATCCCTCAGTGAGATGTTTGGGCCTGACTCCTTAGGTTATGATCCTAATGGGCACTGCCTGCTTTAATAAGGCTGAAGTTTTGAAGCGAGAAACAAATGCCAGGAATTGTCATATTCAGCTTTGAATTGGAAAAGCAAGCACATCAGGAGATTCTAAGTAGGTTGCCAGTGGAACTGGCAAATTTGAAGGTAGTGCTGGATATTTCTATGAGGAAGAAATGAATGAGATTAGAGGCAGCTAGGCAGGAAGTGCTGTTGGGAGCTCTATCGAGATGTATTTGATGACTTTCTAGCAGCGTTGATCTGTATCCAGGAGGATTGGACACTGAAATTCGAAATTGAGTAACACATACATTGATGAAAAATGTTACTTTTATTTGCTAAAGCAGACTTTATACTGAATGAGTTTCTTTGAATGTAATTCATTTTTGATAGAGTATGAATTAAAATAATAACTAGAGAATGTTGCAATTATCTCTATAAACATCAGTATAAAAATAACTTATTAAATACTTGATATTTGTCAATCATCAGAATATATATATATATATATATAATTTGTAAGCCCATATATATGTACACGAGCTTACAAAATTGATTTCACTTCTTGCTTCACGAAGTCAATTCAGTTCACTGTGTGGCTAAGCAAAAAAATGATTGCTTATCAATTTAGAGATGATCATTTCAATATCAAGGTACCAGGAAACTAGTTTCCAGTTGAGATATCCACCCAAAAACCAGTACCTTCTTGCTGTGTCCCCATAGGGTGGAGGGAGAGAAACTTCCCTGCTCCTTTCCTATAAATGCGGCAGATGTGTTAGATTAGGTTCACTCTCATTGTTTCATCCAAAAATAAGCAGTTATCAAACGTTCCACTTCATAACACAAGCATTATAAGTGGAAGGATTGTATCATAGGAATTTCAAATGACAAGAGAACTCTATGCACATACAGGATGGTCAACTTAAATGGACTGAGAAACAACTAATATTTTCTTATGCTCAAGGTGGTAAATGTACGAGCTAAAAAAGTTTCATAAAGAAAATTCATCAAGAGTTTACAACAATACACAATTATAAGGAAAAATGAACTGAGTACCTGTATCTTTACTGCTACCTATTCCAAAATACATACATGTAAATATAAATATATAACAAAATATTATATATAGATATCCCAGAAATATTAATATACATGCAATTTTAATTTGAAACTGTGTATCACCATTCAGTTTCTTTTTAAGTAATCTAAAATATACACATGAATATCAATGAACAAATACTTATTATATAGAATACAATGATACATAAATGTATATACATTAATTTTCTTACATGATTTCACAAAAATATGTCATGTCTAAATAATACATTGCAATCAATTGTAAAAGATAACATAAAATATCACATGTATGCATAAAGTAAGAAACAATGTCTGCTAACAATATAAGGATCTACCTAAGCACTGTAAGTAGTAGTTAAGAGTGTGATCACCTTAAATTGTCCTTCAGAGACAATTTACACTAGGAAATGATTCTTGCAGAAAAAAATAATATAAACATTGAGCCTGATTATAAGTAGACCAAAAGTTATTATGTGTTTTCTCTGACAAGCACAGTGATACTAAACTCACAAAATTGTATTTCAGGTTTCCCAAATAATATCACACATGTAATATCTGAAAAGAGACAATACTTAAGAATTTTCAGGGATTCAGCATTTTCATGAAACGCTTTGATTAAAGTGTAAAGCGCCACGACAGGGACTTGAAAACTACTGACAAAGAAAACGCAATGCAATAACATGGCAGTTAAGGCAGGGTCTTCCCTTCACTGGCTGATAGATCTCAGCACATCAGATTCAAAAGGTAGGCTAATTCTGCATGGAGGATCTGTATAGTGTGGGTCTTCCCTATAAGGAGACGTGGCAGAGGGAGGGGCCGGAAGCTCTGAACACAGAACACTGACTAGTCCTGGCGTCAGAATATTTGGAGCCCTGCCCTCCCACACAAAGGGGGCGCCAGAGAAGCCGTCCTTGCTGCACTCCTCTCCAGGGCTTTAAACAGGGGAGGCGCTAGCACTCGCTTCCTTTTGAGGACCTCGGCAACGGAGGGGCTTCAACCACTGCTGCAAGCCCTGCGAAAGTCAGCAAAAAGACCAAGGCTGTAGTTGAGGAGGTGAGAACCTTTCCTGAGAGACGAGCAACACCGGCTTGGGAAGGGAGTGTGGACCCCGCCACACAAAGCGTTGGCGTGTTCTCAGGGATTGGGGGGGGGGGTGGATTGAGCCAGAGCACATGTTGACTGATACAGGTTGGTATTTGCCCGTCTGAGGCCTGGAGTCTGCATGGGTAAAGACCAGTGGATATTCTAGAGAAAAAGAGAAACAGCGGCTGCAGCTAACTCCAAAGTCCGTGTAACCTAGGCTTAGGGGCCAAGAAGACCTTTACGGTGCCTGAGCAGCACGGTCAAAATGGAGGGCGCCACATGTGAGCTGAGGTCTCGCGTGGTCTGAGAGCAGCAAGGTCTCAGTTAGGGCCAGACCAGAGCCAGCACAACAAGTACCATCGTGCAATTAAGGAATCAAGAGAACAGGAGCACCAGTCAGTGCTCAGAGGATTGCAGTTCCAACACCTGATGCACACAGCTTGGCCTGTGGTCAGTTCTAGGGGGCCCTAGTGGGACCATCAGACTGTTTGCTACAACAAGGTAAACACAGATGTGTGGGTGTCAGTCTGAGGGGGGAACTTTAAGTCACCCTGATGGAGATTTCCAGCTATTCAGGAGTCCTACTGAAAAACCCAATGAGGAAAAGAAGCCCTTGTCTGATGGCAACCTGAGATGAGGAATAGGATTGTGACTCACACGAATTTCCAGCATTATATGCAGTAGAGGGTGTGCCTAATCATGGGGGGACTTTTTCTAAAGTATATGGCCTGAGATTCATAGTAGGAGCATCTCTATTATTCCTACAAGTTAGAGTGAGTACAGTGAGATTAGTGTGAAATACCAAGATTAACTAACAAACTCCTTTTTTCTAATATTTTTATATTGAAATATGCGAGTGTGGTATGTTTTGCTTAACAATTTGATATCATTCTTGTTAGGTATTTATTCACAAAAATATGTCCTATCCTTTTTTATGAGAGTGTAGTAGTCCACTATATAGAAATCTATATTTGCTTCATGTTAGTTTGAAAAGAGCAAAAAATGAATGTAAAATTTGAAGACAAGAAAACAGCAGAATAAAAATAACCCATGGTTTAATGATGTCATCAGAATCATTACTCCAGCTACAAAATAGAGGCATGATATCTTGATCAAACTGTATTAGCAAAAACCTTGTTCTCAAAGTTTTAAGAGAAACTAGCAGGATAAAAGTAGAAACTGTAATGGTGAGGGAAAGGGGCCAGTCACAAATACAGGGCCTTTACACATCTTGGTAACAATGCAAATCCTATGACCTCAGGAATGGATAAAGTGATGTGGTAATTTTAAGAATTGAAATATTACCCAGTCAAAAATCAGACCTACTAATGCAACCCTAATATAGTGTCAGTAGTGTGAGAAGCTGAATGAGCAAATAGGAACTAATATAGCAACGCATAGTCTTAGTTGAGAAGAAAGAATTCAAAGCCACATCATCTATTCTGACTACCAGTTGACAAATATAGGAAGGTAATGTGCCTGCCAGAGGCTCCCAAAGAGTCGCAGGGAAGACAGCAGGACCAGAGAGGTCCCAGTCAAAGGAAGGCTTCAGAGGGTGGGAAGGACCGATTTTGATTGAGTGGGCATCAGAAAACCACACCCTGATCCTTAGATTCAGCATCCCAAATCCAAGAAACACGTGTCAAGCTGTTTTTTTAGTCACCGCTGCATACCAAATGTCGCATGAAGCATATTTTGTGCGAAGATTCAAATGCCATGCAGCAGTAACAGGCAGTCCCTGGTGATCAGATTTCTCTGGATAAGAAAAGGGTACCTTGGCACCCCCTGTGAGGTAGGGCTGCCTCCACATATGTCTCAGTGGGCAGATAGAAGCAGGATAACGAACGTTACTTTTTTGAGATAGATTCAGCTTCTGAGAAGGAGAAGTGAGAAGTACAGGACCTTTGTGTAGTTAGTGCTAAGTGTGCTAGCAAACCAAGTGGACCCAACACAATAAACACAGGACACCAATCTGCAGGCCTTTTAGCACTCCAGAACACCACTGAAAGGACATACTTGAGAAAACAGGTCCACTGTTGGTTCCTTGAGCACCATTCTCACAGAGAGCTGCATGAGCAGTACTGGTCAACTCCGAGGAGAGATGTCACTAATGAAATTGCTCACACTGTCTTGATTCCCTTCCTCCAGGTGCGTGGAGCAGGAGTCATCCTCCCCGTGTTCCTCCCTCTGGGACCTAAAGAGATTCATCATGCCTCTTGGTCACAAGAGCAGACACCATGGTTGTCAGAAACACCCACAGGCCAAAGATGACACGCAGGGTGTTGTGACACAGGAAGCAGGAGCACCAGCTGCAGGCACTGCAGCAGCAGTGAAAGCAGCAGCACCAGTACCAATACTAATAGTGAAAGTAGCAGTGCCATCAGGAGCATCGAATACAGCAGCCATTGCTGCAGCTGCAGTTGCAGCAGTAGTAGCAGCACAAGCTCCAGCGAATGCAGAAGCATCAGCTGCAGCACCAGCACCAGCAGCAGTGAAAGCAGTGACACCAGCTTCATTTACAGTGGCAGCAGCGAAAGCAATGACACCAGCTAAAGCTGCAACAGGAGAACAAAAAAAAGAGGCTTCTTTTACCCAGGGTCCATGTGGAGCTGTTTCCTGTAGCCCAGCCCTGACACCCAGGAGGAGATCACCATCTGCTGGTGCTCTCTCTGCTGATGGCTCTGTGGTCAGTCCTGACCAATGTTCCAGTTGTAAGAATGAAGAGTGCATTTCTGAAGCCAGTCACTGCACTGGCTATATGTCTGAAGGACTTCAGTGCCAAATTGAGACATTGGGGTCGTTCATACTCAAAAAATTTGAGTTGAAGCAGTCCTTTACTAGGTCAGAAATGCTGTTGTTGATCGACAGAAATTACACAGGTGAATTTCCTCAGATTTTCAAGAGTGTCTGTGAGCACCTAGAGGCGGCCTTCGCAGTTGAAGTGAGAGAAGTGGAGCCCACCCATCACTCCTACAGCGTTTTCAGCATGCTGAGCCTCCCCAACAATGGCAGGGTTCACCCTGGCAGGGGCTACCCTAAGTCCGGGCTGCTAATGAAAATCCTCGCTCTGATCCTCATGAAAGGCCACCGTGCTTCTGAAGCAGATGTCTGGAAATTCCTGAAAAAGATGCACGTGTATCCCCGCAAGGAGCACATGTTTTTTGGAAATGCCAGTAATCTCCTCACCCACGATTTTGTGAAACTGAAATACCTGGAGTACTGGCAGGTGCCCGGCTATCTTCGTCCACGCCGTGAGTTCCTGTGGGGCCCCCAAGCGCATGCTGAGATCAGCAAGGAGAAAATCATGAAGTATTTAATCAGGATGAATAAGATCTGTCCTACCTACTTCTCATATCTTTACGAAGACCTTGGAAGAGTGGAGATAGAACAATTCCAAGACTCACTTTCTACCAAGCATGTCTCTACTGGCTGACCTAAGGCATTTGCCCCAGCCATGCATCCTGCTTCTGCCAAGCTCTTCAGTGTCTATGGCTTCCGAACATCCAGTTTAAGAAAGTAGGCTTCCCAGTAAAATCCCAGGAATTTACCTGCACAAGTTAAGGAAGAGTTCAGGAGTAGGTGATGCAATGACATCAATCGTTAAGACATGTTTATTTTTTTGCTTTTCTCATTTCTTCATATATTTCTCTATTTTAAGCTTTCTTTGTGTATTTCTGGAAGTTGAGCTTAAATATTTACGTTTCCTCTCATAGCTCTTGAGTGTACTTTAGCACATGTTGATTGACTGCATTCACTATGGCAAGCTTTGTAGTAGTGCACTGGTACTAACATGATGAAAATCCAGTCTGTGCTACTAGAAATTTTTCAGCTTAGGTTCTGCAATGTTACTGGAAATTTGTTGAAATTCCTTTTTGAATTTATGTATCTTAAAAGGAACCAATATGATGAGGGTATCTTTCAGAACAATGGCATTTAATTTCCTGTGGAAGACTTGTGGATCTTTGGAAATTGCAGACTTCTGATTGGATACTATCTTTATGTCATTTTGGGGTTGGCTAAAGATGGAGGTGTAGAATTAGTGCTGTGACATCTCCTGTTGTGAGTCAGGAATTTGATGCCTATTCCTGTAAATTGATTCAGTCAACTCAGACAAAACACTATAGAATGGGAAACTAAAAAAAATAGATTTCCTGTGTAAAAAACAAAACATTAGAATAGGGAATGTTCATGGGAATTGTATACAACTGTACTGTATGCAGAGAAATACTTTGGAGCAAATATTTGAAACATGATAAATTCTTGAATTCTCTTAACTGCATTTACTATTTGATGTTTTAAATGACTGAATATTTTATAAGTGATTTTATCTTGTTTGGGGACATAAAAATAAAATTTTTCATGTATTTTTTGTTTCTTGAGAGTATTCAGCATAAACTATACATGCACAGGATTTTTGCCACAATGCAAGACAGTCCTGGGAAAGTAAATTAAATAAGTCTTCGTTCTGCCTTCAGACTCAGTGAGAGCTGTGCTGCAGTATAAATCGTAGGGGATTAGGGTACATTTTTAGACATTTATCTAAGGTGTACATGAAAACATGCATCCCCACTCTTTCCCAAAACCCCCTTAGTTGCAGATATCATAATGTTAGCTATTAGTTCCTCAGTTTATGATACTTGTAAGAGTCACATGTAATCAGAAATATTCACTGAATTATGGAAAGCAAATGGAACAAATTTTTCTATGATTTCCTCAAAAGAATATTTAGGATTGTGAGAGGGAGGGACAGAAAGCCAGAAAGAAATGGGGAAAATTAAATGGGAGCAGGAGATGTGGCATCCTTAAGATGAAGATGTTGGGGGTAAATCTAAAAAAGGAAGATTAGAGGCATGGGTAAAGAGGCGGAGGTGTAGGAAATAGAGAGACCAAAGTATGAGAGAAGAGAAAGGAGGAAAGAAGGAGAGACACAGAAAGGAAAAGAGATGTAGAAAGAGAAAGAGATTAACTCCCCTGACAAGCGTGGGGTGAGTTCTATCCCTTGTACCACACGCACTAAGAAGGGAATAAATAAATAAGTAAATAAATCAGACACCGAATCAGATATCATAAAGTGACAATGAAGTCTCCTGAAGTCTTTAACATATGGATTTGGAAAGATGTGATAAAAGGACAGGACCACTGTGGCCATGTTATAAAACTGCTGGGAGTAACCTGAGAATCATGGGCAAAGACAAGATAGATATGCACCTGCACAGGAAAGCAAGGTGTCTTAGAATCCATTTTCAGAGATGCTGAACACATTGGGTTTATCAGGTGTTATCTGAAAAAATTTTCAGAGCCTTTCAGGGAAATGAAAGCAGTCCCTTTAGGTGAGCTTTACAGAAGCCACTACTCAGGCACATTTGTCACCCAGAACTAAGAGTATAACCCAGATCCTGCACACCCTTTCTGTTGCTGCATTTATCTTGAAGAAATAGAAATAAGTGACACTTCTCTAAAAGGGTCTTTTCATTAGGTTGTGTTGCGTGGGATTTTCAAGACTTTCAGTGAGCTTTAGATTTTGGGGAGGTTATATACAACAAATATATAATAGACAGTCTGATTGTTATGTCAATAGGGAGGGCTTAAGGAACTTGGAACTGGACAGCAATTTTAGGAAACTGAGTTTCAAACAGGTTAAGAGGGCAACTGTACCCTGAAAGTTGTGCAGTTTTGCTTAGTATGCACGATTTTCTAGTAATTACAAGGTTTCTTATTTGCCAAATGATCTGAAAACATCTACACATAAACCTGCACACAAATACCCACAGAAGATTTATTCACAATAGTACTAGTTTTGTTAGATAATACTTTCTTGTGTCCAGAATTTGTATTAGTATCCAAAAGCAACATCATTAGTAGATGAGGATTGACTACTAATCAATGTCTTAGTAGAGCAGAACACAGGGTAATAAATTAGTACATTAAATGTCACAGTGAATAACACATAGGAAGGGCAGAAATATATCCCTGAAACTTTTGAATGCATGTCCTGAAGTCATCCAAGATGAGGACCTTTCTGTAGACTGATAGTCCATTAAGGGTTTGTGGGTCAGGAATTCAAAAGACTGAGTTATCATTATTGTGTGATTGAATGTCTCAAGCACTTATATTTACGTGAATTCCACTTATTTATCTTTTTGAGAGAAGTTCTCACTAAGTCGCTAGATTGTACAGGTTTGGCTTCATGGTACAATCTTCCTGAATATGTCTCTCAGAGTGCTGGGATGTCAGCTCACTATCTTATAATTTATAAATTCAACTAAAGATTGGGGAAAATTATGTCAATTTTCTGCCAGTGAGTATTTGAAAATTTGCTAATACATCAATTAGAATGACTGAATTCTGAAAGCCTGACCAAACCAAAGGAAGGAGGCAGGGTGTCGTGGCAGAGCCAGTAATCCCAGCTCTTGGGAGGCTGAAGCAGGAGGACTGCACTGAGCTGTAGGCTAGCGTGAGCTAAATAGTAAGTTCAAGGCCAGCCTGAACTACAATAGCCATTTGTGATCTCACTCCCCCCAGCAAACAAGGAACAAAATGAGGAGAAGACAGGAAAGAATGAGAAGCTTTATGGGTACTGTTACAGATACACACAGACAAAGGGTTCATTAGCAGATAATTTGGCAACAACTTACAAAATTATAGATACACATTTCTTGAGATGCAGTACTTGCACTGATATTTAATCAGATAAATGAAAAACAATATCCACAAGAAAGCCTTCACACAGGTATTCTTAGAAGCTTCATTCACATTTGTGTAAGCCCGAAAGTAACCAACACGTCCATCATCAGAGGAGTGAACAAATAAAGGATAGCACATGTGTACAACAGGATAATATGTAGCTCTAAAAAGATGAGGTTTCAATGCACGAAAACACATGGAGGAAATCTAAATGAATTCTGCTTGTTAAAAGTAGCCCATGTAATAAAACTATATTCTGCATTTTTCTAACTCTAAGTAATTCCATAACATGTAAAATAAGAAGACAGAGTTCAGGAAATGCAGGGAGGACTAAGTAGGTAGAGCAGAAAGGACCTCACTACAGAGTGGTGGTGTTATGTTCTACATTGCTGTGCTCTATTGCTTTGAGGTTGCCCAATTTGGATCTTGATTTACTTTGACTCAAGAATCTGGTCCTGGTTATGTGACAACCTACTTCAATGTTTCATTTGATACATAATTTGAAAGCTTTATGACCCAAAACTCTGCCTTGTTTGTCACTACTCATCATTCTTGGTACTCTACTTATTTCATCTCCTGGATTTGATTCATGACAAATGCCAGTGTACCACATGAGTATCTCTAAAATCTAAACCTAACATACCCTGGGAAGCATTGCAAGCATTACTACAAGAATTCCAGAGAATTCAAAGGTGTACAGCAGAAGTTCTATTATTAACAGCAGGGTGAATATATATAGCTAAATTGAAAATACAACAAAATATCAAAATAAGTTACTGTTGGGAGCCGTGGCACTGTCAAGTCATCAGACGCGGTGATTGCGAGGCCTGTGGGAAAGTACAAAAGCCTGAGCTAGATTACCCCTCTCATCGAGCCCGCCTGTGTGGCACCTGTTTCTTATCACCCCACTAAGTTCCCGCCTCACAGGGTAGTCTGCCTAGCTATTAATCCTATATATAGCCAGTGCCTCCACCCCCGAGAGAGAGACTGAAGCACAAAAGGAGCCGCGGGGAGCGGACCGGTAGAGGCTTCGGGGGAGAGAAGCCCGCAAGGAGCCTCGGGGAGCGGACCGGTAGAGGCTTCGGGGGAGAGAAGCCCGGAAGGAGCCGCGGAGAGCGGACCGGTAAAGGCTTCGGGGCAGACTGTATAAGGAGAGAATAAAGAAAAGGTTGTCCACTGCCAGACTTTGTCGTGTGTCCTTCCTGCCGGCCGGGAGCGACATCGACAAGTTACAAAGAATAATTAAAACTGATAAAAATACTAGTAACGTGATCTGATGTATTTTTAAAAATGCACAAAATGATATGTGCAAGGAAATTCATAAAATTTTATATAAAATCCCAGAAGAAATTCAGGAATCTAATTAAAGCAAATCAGCAAAAAAAGATACAGTTAAAGGAAACATTGAAAATATCAAAAACAAAAATAAAAACCCTACCCAATAAAAAATCATACAGTGATGTACAAGCTGATATAGAGATAATTATTAAAATTGAGCAATGAACTTAGGAAAAGTAAGTCACATGTCCATTAGAACTCTACACTATGTTTTGTTTGAAAAGGACAACTATTTTGAAAATGTCAAATAATCTTAAATTCTATAAAGGTTTATGGAACTAAAGATTGGTGTAAGGATGACAACCAAATGCAGGCTCTTTCCAATGACTGAAATCAATACAAGGCAACTAAGGAACAAGAAAGAAAAAAAAAAAAAAAACCAGTATAATATAAAAGAAAAAGATTCTGTAT